CACTACACACAATAAAAAACATAGGAAATAGCAAGAGTGATTACAATAGTTCCTATTGCATTACATGCATAGGAACTACAAAATGGATTCTTTTAGCGTGCATAAGTACAAATTTTTGGCATGGAATCAATTCTAATTTTCGCACACTCACCAAGGCAAATGCTTGTGGTACAGTTTAATTTAAATGCTTATCTTGGACTGATTCCTGCCCATAAAACAAGAACTGTTTCTATCTCGATTTTCCGTAAAAAAACCCAAAGGAACCTAAGGTAAGAAGGCATTAAACACCAAACTGCAACTCCCCTCTTGGCAATACAATTTCCATACCTGGGTAATATAATTTCCATAATTGGATGCTGCAATTTCCATATTGTTATGGGTATACCATATTTGGATAAATTTTGATAGCAAACTATACTTGATGTATCTATATTTAGCTAAATATGACTACTCTAGTGCCAAAGACAAGTAGAAATTACATCATACTGTATATATTTTGAGTTCAATGACACTATTATGAGACTGACTAATAATGAGATCGAAATGAATGAATTTATCTTAAAGGTGCTTGAAGGTGAAATTTCTGATCAGGAGGTGCTGGTATGAGTAGGTTACAGTATTCATCCAATAGAATGTTTGCTACACATTTACTAATTAAGAGTTTTACAAATTTTACTATTAGACAATAATCATATTATTTTCATCTTTCCACAATTTCTTTTTGTGTTGCAGAGGTGTGTGGCTATAATCAATACCTTCCACTGATCACACGCCAAAACAAACAGACACCTTTATAGACTGGTGTCATCCTATGAATAATTAGGGTCACCGGGCATTCTTTCAGTCAGGTAAATTATGCAGGTAAAAATTACCATTGTAGCTTGGTGATTTGTAAGATACCCATCTTCCAATTCTAGATTTGGGTTCAAATCCATTTACACAGAATTCTTATAATTACAAAAACAAATGTGTCAATATACTTGGATGCATTGGTTTCCATGAACAATTTCATATTTTAATAATTACACAAAGTTTTCTGGGTGTGGGGGGGTCCCCACAAAATATATAGCTCATTTATGGTGTACATACAGTATCCTGACAATAGGACAATCAATGACTTAATTACTGTCATCAATATTAGGGCTGGAAAAGTGTGCAGAAATTGCGCATTTCTTCAGAGGAGTTTTTATAGAAAAATAGATTTTGCTTATCCTCTTCCCTTCCTTAGACATCCACTGTTAGGATATACAGCATACTGGAGTCATTCTGTGTTTCACCAGAAACATTTTACCATACTGTAGGTGGGAGAAAATGATTTTTTGCATGCTCCAGCCCATTCATTGTCAAGCTTAGTCTACAGGTAACATTTGGTGTTACAGGAATTTTTTCATATTTAATTTACATGGTTGGAGGCACAAACATTTTCCCACCTGTCTTTACAACGTACAAGCATGTAAACCAATTTTTAATATTCATAATTGGTAAGAGTTAATTGGATAAAATCATGATGATGATTTTCAAGCTTTTTTTAGATAGATAATATGACAATATTTATTTATTCATGAGCATATGTCAAATCTGTAATCTAACAGATAGAAACATCTGTTCAATAATTTTTTTTTAACATAATAAAAAATGTGAAACAGTGTCTATACAATACAGTATGATATTTCTGGCCTGAGATACTTGCTCAATCACCTTTTTCAACAACTTAAAATAAAAAACCTCTAGAATTATACTTTTGTTTCATTTCCTATGTTATTTGTTTTCATTTTTTTATCATGGTTTGTAAACGGTTTATATCTGCAATTGCAGGGGCAGATTTAATGGGAGGGAGGGCCACGCCAGCCCCACCTTTTTGGAAAGTCAAAAAAAAAAAAAAATTAAAAAAATTGATAGCCCAAAACTCCTCTAATTTTGCGGGGCATGCCCCAGACCCCCTAGGGTAGTCTTGAGCAGTCCCCCTTGGACATCTCTGGATCTGCTCCTGAATTGGACACTAAAAATAGAACAGAAAACTGAAACTTAAATTGAAACTAAAGCTTAATTACCTATTGAAAGACTACAACACATAACTATAAACAAAAAAATTAAGGCTACATAATACAATTGATTTAAAATACTTTAAATCACAAGTTAAAAAAAAAACATTGTACAGTTTTAATTCTTTTTTTAAGCCAGGCACTTGCTGTGACTGACACGATTCTATTAAGAACACAACGCCACCTCATGTGCGTAACTGATTTTTTTTTTAGACTGCTACTGACAATCAACAGACGTCACATCGTGTAGCGCACACAGGCAGCTGAGTGCGATTAGTCAGTTAACGGTCACACAACCGTGGTATGATGCAGTGAGTATATTTAATGATGATAACAATCCACATACTTAAAAACAGTAAAATGAGAATTACTATCTCAAAAACGAAGCATTAAAAAGTAACACTATAAAATATGCAGTTATACTGTAACATTGATCCCTCCTAAATTAAACATATAAAAAACATTATTCAATGCCGTTACTGATTAAAAAGGTAGAAAAAAATGTTACAATTTGAAGTAAAACTAAAAATTAAAAGCTTTGAGATACAGTAAAATTGTCGATTTAAAAGTTGATATGGTTTATAAATTTATGCAATGTTAAATATTAAGACTACACTAAAAACCTACAAATGTTTTGTCCACAGAACAGCGCGAAATTCAATAGGTTATGGCCCAGGCGTGGTTGCAGCTCTCCTTCGCCTCCTTACACATGCACGATGAAATCTAAATTTAGTAGCATAGCTACGCGATCGATTTGTAGATTTACCATTATTCGGAGAAATAAACTTGAATAAACTAGCCTATGTATAGATTTTAAAGCAGCCGTTATAAGTTATTGAGCTACATTATCATTCTACCGTGCCGCGCTGTGTGTACGTGGGCCGGTTATAGCAAGGAGGTATATATATAGAGTGGACAACAACTTTGTCTCATACTGCATTCAGCAGACAACACCGTGCAGGCAACAACCATAAAGTTTGTGCCATACTGTGCATTCAGCAGACAACAGAGTAAACAACAGTCTGATTCACGTCAAAGTTATCTAAATCTTGAAATATGATACGATTTTCCCTATTTGCATTCGATGCCAAGTTAGAGCCAGATAAAGCAGCCAGCCAGCTCCGAGGCCATCGACGTCAGTAAACAGGAATTATGGGAAAATGAGACTAAAAAATCTGCACGGTGGAAAGGCTTTTTAATATCTATTTTAGGAATACCAAGGGGTATTCGTAACTACTGTAGATCAGGTGTCAGTTTCCACTACCTAGTCTAGCTTTCCTCTGCCATGAGGCTGACAGTGACCAGGTCTATTAAAGTAACCTAGTAGTAGTAGTAGTATGAAACCAACCGACAGTTGGCAATCTATAAACTACAAAAAAACACGACAGAAAGGTCCATATAGTATACAGACGTTTTAAAGAGAATTAAAACAATATTTTGTTAAATGGGAGAATGTAGCGATTAAAATAATTTGGTTTTTATCAAAGGTAAATTTAGCTAGGGCCTAGTAATCTACTATTGCAGTAGTCCACGCTGCTGCACTGTCAGTTGGTTCGTACTACCTGGTCGCCTATATATCAATGGCAGAGGATAGCTAGGCTAGGTAGTGGAAACTGACACTTGATCTACAGTAGTTTATGAATTTGTCAGTTTTTTATGGGTTCATAAAATACAGTAGACATTTTATTTAAACAAGCCTTTCCACCGTGTAACATCGACAGCCTCGAAGCTGGCTGGCTGTTTATCTGGCTCTAATTTGGCATCGAATGCAACTAGGGAAAATCGTATCATATTTCAAGATTTAGATACGCAGCTTAACTTTGACATGAACCAGGCTAATGTGCATTCAAAAGACAACGGAGTGGAGAATAACCATGAGGTTTTTGCCATACTGTGCATTCTGCAGACAACACAGTGCAGGCAACAACTGCGAGGCTTATGCCATATTGTGCATTTGTTCAGCAGACAATAAAAACAATCTCTTAATGCACTACTGAATATCCTGATGTTTAACAAATCAATAATCAATTATAGCTAATCATAAAAAATAAATATTGAATACTTACATATTCCATCATATTACTGTTTTCACACTTTTCTTTGCATAACGCCCAATGAAGGCCAAGTTTGTGGTACAGTCGACTGTTCTCCCAATCAACCGCTTTTTCAATTGAATGTCGACTCTTTAATATTAAGGAAAAAAGAAAAACTGATGAGAAATCCAGCCACATCTATCTTTTACCAATTTCTAGCCTCAACATTGGTTCCTTTAACACATCAATAAATGAGGAAATTTTCTTAAATTTACTCCATTTACAGCCTCTAATTAAAGACTCTTCGAATAGACTGATTCCGCTAGGTTGGTCATATGATGCATAGTGGGTATAAATTGTAAACAGGCAGTGCGAGTGATGCTCGGTAATAAATAGGAAACACATGTGGCTTCTTCAGAGTGTTTCTGCTGTAGAGCACATATTTGATGTTGAATGATGTTGAATGATGTTGGTTGGAATGCCAGTAAACTATACCAAATTGATTGGATATTGAACTTGATAGTTTTGCCATAATGGTTTGCTAAGTCCTGTAATGCTCTAATAAACAATACTGGTACCAAACGTTGAGATTTTTCGAGAAATGCTACAGTACTGATTACCGAACGTTCGACATGACTCATGTGTATTGGGCGTGTGTTTCACGAGTGAAAAGCGAGTGTCCTTATTCCGCGAGTGCTCCAATTAACGCGTGAATGATTTTACTCAGCATACACTTCCTGGAAAAAATTCAATCTGCTGTAAAGCACATTGATGTTGAATGATGTTGGTTGGAATGCCAGTGAACTATACCAAATTGATTGGATATTGAACATGAGAATTTCGCCATAATTGTTTGCTACTGTAATGCTCTAAACGATACTGGTCCCAAACGTTGAGATTTTTCAAAAAATGCTAGGCCTACTGTAGGCCCCTGCATACTGGCTAAAACCTGTTTTGGTATGCACACGAGTCTTCATTCATTGAACTGCAATTTTGACACACTACAATTTCTAGGCTAGCTATTAGGTTTACGTAGAATCACATAAATTGCAAAGCATACAAACCGCAGAAAACGCTAGAATAAGTAAATAAACATTATTTTAAACAATTGTAGTACCTTTCCTTGCCAGTCCTTTCTCGCGTTAATGGTGGCTGTTTGTTTTTGTAATCATAACATTACCTTTTCCTATATTTTTACACTGTTCGCACTGTAAGTTACAGTATACCCACTATATTTCACATAACGAGCTATAAACAAACCTTGCGGAATCAGTCTATTAAGGACCGCCTCCAATTAATTGACCAATTTTCTGAGGTTCAATAGCAAATGTTATTATATTTAGAGACCAAAGCTGCTTGACCACAGAAACCAAGGTCCAAAAAATGGTCTTTATTTGGATGGAGACCTGTAATTATGAGTGAACATGTGTAAGAAATGGAGGTCACAGGTGAATAATTACTAAAACAATTAAATTTAAAGGATACACAACCATACAGATCTCCTCTAATTAAAAACCATCTAAATAAAGACCACCTCCATTTAAAGACCAAATAAAACAATTTTCTTTTATCTTTATTTTACAGATCAAACCTGCTAAAGTCCCTAGTCCCAAATGCAGTCTTTAATTAGAGGGAGACCTGTATTTTACAATGTTTAAGGCTGCCTCAACAGAATTAAACCAAAGAAGCATTCTTGAAAAAAAACTTCAGGAAAATTCTTAAGCGACTGAGGTACACAGTAGTTTGATTAAGATCAATTTAGTTAAAGTGTTCTTAATCTTATGAACAGATTAGGCAGGACTATGTAGAACAATTATGGCAAATGCACAGTACTGTATTTAATAAACTGACCAGATTAATAAAAAAAAAATACATTACATGATGCAGGACAGAGTCTATTTAGCTTTACTATAATTTATATGAGAATCAACAATATCATACTGTATGCTCTTTCAGATATAATTTTCATAAAGAAAATGCCAGTAAATACTATATGAGATTAAATTTCTGAAGGTATAAAGTATACGAATTCTGAAAAAATATATGACAAGACAGAGAACACAGATAGACGTTAATCATATTGTAATTAATTTTGTCTGGTGATATGTCACAGTCCAATAAATTCTAGCAAGAATCAAGATCAATTTCAATGATTTCCAATTTCATGGTTTTTGATTAACGAGATAGAGTATGATATTATTTATGTTTTCTCATGACATTTGTAAAAAAGAGAAATATCAAATGAGGGAAGAAGATAAAATACATTAATATCAATACAAAGAGGCAAAGAGAGTATAATTATTACAAAGATCATATAGTGTGTCTTGATACAATAGGCTGATTCAAATTCCCCTCCCACCCTAAATTTTTTTTTAATTCAAAAACAAAGTGAGGGGAGGGGAGAGTGTGGGACCATTACCAACAATTTCTAAGGGGGAGGGAGGGGGGGCTAGACAGAAAGGTCCATTACCATGCTGGCACCCTCTATTTCAAATTCCTGGATCCACCATTGCATAGTACTACAATCAATAAAGAATTTTAATATCCTACCCTTTTGCTAAGACAGACTACTGGCCATAGCGAACAGCCGAGGGTACAACAACAACATATACAGCCACACAGCAACCACTTAATATTCATGGGTAACGTCTTCATCAGAACACTGTTGATTCTGTCAATGCTCTCCTTATATTCCTCTGGTGCAACCTAAAAAAATGAGTTACAAAATAAATAATATAAATTAATTAATATTAGAAATATATAAATTGAAGTTAAAGCATTCAATTGAGAAGTAACACAAGCAATTGTGATTCAATATTTCGAACTTTATAAGTTCATCTTCAGGAAAATATAAGCAAGAAAATATTTTCTTTGCCAATATGTATATTTTTCCATTATCGAACAGATCTTTAAATTGGTTGGTAATCAATTTGAGAATCCGTGATTTTTGTTCCATTGGAAGAAAACTTACATGATCCATATGGACAGTTAAATTTCTTAATTCAATTCAGCACAAATTGTATCTTGAAATGTAAGCAATTGAATAAGTAATTAAATAATGACTGGTTAAGCAATCTCTGTTCTTTTATTGAATTTTTACCATTTGTAATCATTGTACTCTTATGTTTATAATAGGTTTATGTAGGATCCCATTGGAAATAAGTTTTACTTTTTAAAGAAAAATGTCATGGGCCATCTTTGCATCATCTGTTGTTATTTGTTTGTGTAAATTTTAACTGAATTTGTAAAATATTTTAATAATGTGAAATAAACTGAACTGAACTGTTTATTGTACAGTAACAGGGGAAGATTTATTTGTGCCCCCATTTTTCACATCACTGGATCTGCCCCTGAGTAGCAATGGTACAGTATGCCAATGTTTAATAATACTGTATTTTTGCCATTGTACTAGATATATTTTGCAACATATTTTTCATCTAGAGTAGGACAATAGTACAATGTGATGGCAAGTCATAAAGCCCTATAAAGAAAAATGTCATGGCCATCTTTGCATCATCTGTTGTTGTTATTTGTTTGTGTAAATTTTAACTGAATTTGTAAAATATTTTAATAATGTGAAATAAACTGAACTGAACTGTTTATTGTACAGTAACAGGGGAAGATTTATTTGTGCCCCCATTTTTCACATCACTGGATCCACCCCTGAGTAGCAATGGTACAGTATGCCAATGTTTAATAATACTGTATTTTTGCCATTGTACTAGATATATTTTGCAACATATTTTTCATCTACAGTAGAACAATAATACAATGTGATGGCAAGACATAAAGCCCTATAAAACTAATAATTTAACAATTACTACAAAAGAGTACATTCCGAATTTCAGTTAACACACCTAGAATTTACCAGAAACATATTTTCTCGATTCGATTAAAATCATGAATACACTTTAGTGGCATTAAAATCATAAATATTATTAGAAAGCGTGTGCCCAATGGCACCATCAATGCTGATGTTTATGTTAGGTACATTTGCATTGTTGTATTTAAACATTATCGTTTGACTTTCTGATGCATTAAATGTGATTTAAAAGCATATAGCATATGTCTCACAAAATGCGATGTTATGAAACGTACACCAATATGTTTATTGCAAATTTTAAAATCATGCCTGGGGGAAGCACATAAAAATATAAGACCTTTGAGTGCACATGAAAATAGAATTCACTTCATCGAAAACAATTTTTAAGCCCTCTCCAAACCATCAAATTTTGTTTTACAAAAACATGTGACATTCTTAATTATTGTCATGATGACATGCACTTCACTGAAAATTTTTTTTTTCAAGCTTTGTCTACACTATCAAATCGTATGTGACAAAAAAATGTCATGTGACCATATAATGGGTATGATGATGTCATATCACATATCATCAAGTTGTATCAAAAAAAGTTGAACATGTTTAACTCTATGTTCCTTCAAATTTTAAGTGACGCTTGTTTTGACTTGTAGACAAAGCTTAAAGCATGTCCAGACTAACAAATTTTGTTTCACAAAAACATGTGACATGCCTAAATATGGTCATGATGACATCACATCATGACTATATATGGCCAGACAACTGTTTTTTTGTCAGAGAAAATGTGACAATAACATGACTGACTAAATATTGAGAGAGCAGCTTAGGTCAATCGGCTAATCTGGTGGTGGCCACTGTGTGTGCACTGAACCGTGGAGATTTATAGGTCCCTGGTTCAATTCCCATCGCTGCCTCTCCTTGTGTTTTAGCTGGAGGGCTGAAATACAGGTTACAATAGCGCACCGTCTTTCGCATGAGACTTTTAAGTCGTTGGTCCCGTGTGCATTTATGGACCATGTGCACGTTTAAGAACGCAGTACACTCTTCGGAAAAGTGTAGGGGATTGTCTCCCGGTGCACTGCCCAATCACCACCAGAAGGACCCCACTGGAAATAAGTCTTCTTCTAGACTTTCGTGGGCAATGCTTGGTGTTTACACCGAATAAATCCAAATATGGTCATGATGACATCACATCATGACCATTATATAGGCACATCATGACTATATATGGGCATCTGTTTTTTGTCAAAGAAAATTTGATAGTGTGGAAGGAGCTTTAGAGTATACTTCATTCTCCTTTATAATTTACTTCACCAGACGAAATGCATTCATGATTCACATTTCATATCAAAATCAGTGTGCACATTAGAATAGGCTGACATTTAATACTGAATTAGAAGTTAATAGATTGCTGGTGGGCATATTCCTCTTAGAAGCAATTATCGACCAATTTCATGTGTTAGCAAATGCCTTGATTGTGAGTGCTTTAAAAGCAATAAGCATTGATTTCTTTTCCAAAACAAAACAAGTAATTTTCATAATTAGACGCTCACACGAACCTCATTGCGTTTTCAATTATCCTCCCACTTAACAAACACTCGACACAGGGTTCCCTGAATGCCGCCCTCAGCGGCGTGTGCGAAGCACAACTCAGAGTCAGAAGTGGAACGTGAAATTTCGATATGGTTTTGAAGTCAGATTTGCGAGAAAAACTTCAGCTACCCGTACTTCTCGACTGAGACATCAGTGGAAGCTGTAATTTGTATGGCAAGGAGATGGTACTACCCTTAATTCGTATTTAGGGAATTTACGGCAACAAACCTTGTAGTTATTAATATTTTGGTTATAATAGAAATTTTTTATTTTTTGGTGTGACGTCATACAATATAGTTATTTTTTTTTCTTATTTTAATTTATTTCTTTCGAAAGTGAGTGTACTTTCTATCACATATAATTCCATTGTCTACTTAGGCCTAGTCTTATTATGCCTCATCGTCCCCCGCTACACACACAGTACATTAGTAGGCTAGCCCCACCACCGCCCACACTACAGTATAGACGTTTGCTAGGCAACAGAACGTGATACAGTAGCACCTTCCTTCCCAGGTGCTCATGTGACATTCAGTGGCGTATCCAAGGGGGGAGGGCTTGCGCGCCCCCCCCCCATTCGAAAACTTCGAAGCAAAAAAAATTAGGCTAGGCTTATGCTGTCACGGTTAACGTGTATTCGGGAATCTGAGAAGCAATATTTTTCAGTGGGCGTGGCCACCGAAAATAAATTCCACTCCCCCTCATATTTTGATACGCCACTGGTGACATTTGCATATTGTTAGCTAACTAGCTGTGTGTATTCCTTTGTGAAAATGAGTATGTCGCAGTACTCATTTTCACAAAGCATTTGCATCCCCTCTTCGAAATAATTGTCTCCATATCTTCGCTAATTAATCACCATAATTTAGCTTACACTTATGCATGGAGGGAGCACTTAAAATGTACAATAATCATTTCACTACAAGACAAACCCTGAACTTTATTCATGCATTACATAGTTTCATCTTGCTGTACTCCAACATCACTGGCGCATGGTAACAACCAACTGACTGCAGACCATTTCCGGTCACACATTACTCTCCATAACGCAGCACCCTCTAGTTCCGTCACCTCTGGATTAATTACTAGCCATTGAAATGTCATGAAACCATTGGGTCCACATGCTTAAGCTTAAGTGCTGCTGCCATATTGGCACAGTAGTAGGTAACCCCACCATGTACAATTTATACCCCTGGGTGGAGAGAAGCAACGCAGATAAAGTTCCTTGCTCAGGACACAAGGAAAATGCGCAGCAAGGGATTGAAATCCAAACTAACTAAATCATTCCAAATGTTCCAAACCGCTTCCGACTAGACACCCCTGGCTAGAAACTTTTGGACCTAACTACACTAAGGGATGTGTAAGACCCCCCCCCCCACTCCTTTCCTGTGGGAGTACAAGAGGAAATACCCATTCCCTCTGGCAGTTTGACGTTTTGAGGGCGCATTTCAATGTCTAAAACCTTAAGGGGCCTCGATCAGCCAACCTGGGAGCTATGGTTTTGAGAAGTGTTCCTGGCAAATATTCTAAACATATATCTTAAGCCGGGCACTACCAAAGGTCATTGGCCGCCAAAATTCTATTGTGAACGCAACGCCACGACTCATGCAACGGATCGTTTTTATGACGATTCGTTCAGACTGTCACCAGATGCTGTTGTGTCGCCTAACAATCACAAGGAGTGGAGTTGCATCGTACAACAGAGTGACGGCTTCAAAGACCCCTTAATCCC